TATATTTTATCACTTTTGAAAAATCAGTTCTAGAGATTATGATTAATAAAAAAGTTCGTATATAGACATATTGATTGAAGCTTTTTCTATTTTTAAATTATGAGCGATTTTTATATTTTTAGAATCGATTAAAGATGTTTTTATGAATAAATATAAAAATAAAACTGAGAATTTCACGGAATTTTATTTTGGGAGATTAAAGATTGCCTATAAATTATTATATATTATTATGTTATATTATTTGATTTAATGTTAAAAGGAAAAGAAATTAATTGAAATTAATTAAAAGTATATGTTTTTACATAATAATTCATAGTTGATAGAAACATTTCAATTTGCATAAAAAATATTTATTTTATTAACAAGATAACGATATTTAAAACATATAATTTATATAAGGAATATATTCAAATCTATATTCTTATTGCAAAAAAGTCAAAAATTTTTAAAATTTCTTAATTTTTATTAACATCTACATCAATTTATATCTATTTTTTTTTTTTTTTTTTTTTTAGGTATATTACATGAAATAATTGTTAAAATTGACAAAAATAGATTTGTCCTCTCTTATAAGATTCTCAATGAAATGATTGAGGAGAAACATAATCGTTACAATAACAATATAATTAGTTTTTCTATAAAAAATAAATATGTAGAGATTAATTTATTATATATCATTTTTATATGATCTCTATTCATGTATAGAAATGCACCTATGCAATGCACCTTTTTATATCAATTTTGTAAGATTTTTTATTTTTTATAACTTCAATCCTTTAAGATATTCTATTGTTCTCATTTAAAGAAATCTATATATCTTTTATTTTTATTATAAAATTATTATTATTAATCAATAATTTCGTTACTCAAATATTTGTTAATCAACGATATTATTCAATGTGAAATATTTTAGTCTTTAAGAAATTACAAAACCTTGATATCGAGTCATGACGAGCTTCCTGGCCATATAAATTGCGATTCATCCAAGTTCGAGGAGGATTTGATGAATAAATTGCCTACCACTCCAGAATACAACAATCATCTTTATGGTTCGACACCAGATTCGAGAGATTATTTTTCAAGGCCATTCGAGAAAAGATTGCATTCGAGGTTATCTGGAAGAAATTTCAACTTATTCAGAACAGATGCAAATTCGGTAAATGAACTAGAGTCTCATGGGTTTAATTACGATCCAGGTCGTGGACACATTGAGGACGACTATGTTGGTCCTGCTATGGAATTAGTAAGTTTTTCAAAAAATCAAAATAAATATAAAACAATAACAGATTTGATAGCATAAGAATCAACTCCATAGAATTAGTTAAATTAAGAAATTTCTATGAAATAAGTAAATTTTTCAAAAAAATCAAAACAAAATAAAATTAATTGATTTAGTGATACAAGAATCTTTCTGGTAATTCGATAGGTTTACGCATGGTCCACTATCGATTACACTTATGACAGCATCGAAGCTCGAGATTCGGCTATCTTCGATGGAGATTTTATAGCTGAAAACAATTTACCTCTGGGACTCGAAGTTTGGAAAGATAAAGTTTTCATTACTCTTCCAAAATGGAAAGATGGTATTCCAGTCACGTTGGCTACCGTGCCCAAACATTCGAAGACAAAAAGCCCAAAATTGAGACCTTATCCGAACTGGGAATGGCATACAGTAGGTTAGTTAACAATATTGTTAGGTCATCATAAGTAATGACGTTTAATCAGCATCAAGTAATGTCATTTTAACTTTTATTAATTTCAATAAACATAATAATATCTATTTATTAATATTAATTACTTGCAGAATACACTAGTAATTATATGTGTAAAGATGTAACTTTCTATAATTAAACATACTTCTAATATTAATTCTTATTTTTAGGAAACTGCGATGGATTAACTTCCGTCTTCAGAATTCAAGTGGACGAATGCGATCGTCTCTGGATCTTAGACTCCGGTAAAGTGGATATAGCGAAAGGAGGCAAACTGGCTTGTCCTCCAGCGATCTTTATCTTCGATTTAACCACAGATACTCTTGTCAGAAAGTATATTATACCAAATGATCAAGTAAAAGAAGATACCTTGTATACCAATATCATTGTAGATATTAGAAATGAGGATTGTGGCTCAGCAATAGCTTATATCTCAGACGTGTTCCGTTATGGATTGTTGGTGTATGATTTCTTCAAAGACTCCTCTTTCAGAATTCAACATCATTTCTTCTATCCTGATCCATTGGCTTCTAAATATGAACTTCATGGCCTAAAATTCCAATGGACAGACGGAATTTTTGGAATGGCACTAAGTCCAGTGGATATTCACGATGACAGAACACTATTCTTTCACCCTATGTCCAGTTTTCGAGAGTTTGCTGTTTCCACGTCTATTCTTGGGGACAAGAAGACGGCTGAAGAAAATACTGATTACTTCATGCCTATTGGCAGACCCAGAGCCAAGGACTATGGTCATTCTTCAGGTTCTGTGATTGATAGGAACGGAGTAATGTTCTTTAACATGGTGACTAGAGATTCTGTCTGGTGTTGGGATACCAGAAAAGAGTACATACCTCAGAATCTTGGTGTCATAGGCACCAGTAATTTATCTTTAGTCTTTCCAAATGATATCAGGGTTGACCACGAATATGATCAAAATGTATGGGTGCTCTCTAACAAGTTAGCTATGTATCTTTACGGAAGCATCGATAGCAGCAAGATTAACTATAGAATATTCAAAGCCAATGTCAAAGAAGCTGTCAAAGATACTGTTTGCGATCCTAGTTATGTTGTGCCTGGTTCTGAACATGGTTATGACGAAATTTGTTGAAAATGATTTAAAAGACATTGATGAGAGATGTATAGAATTATATAGAGGAAAAATATAAATATTTATAAATAAAAGATAATGAATATTTATAAATGTTAAGGAAAGAGATAAAGCAGTGTTATCCAATCTTTTTTGAATTATTTTCTTTTGCAATATTCAAATAATTTGCGATTCCTTCCTCGCAAATGTAAGCTAACTAGACACTGCTTTTAATTCAGTGAAAAAATGACTTTGATATACTATAAATATGACAAAATATAATATTGTAATTATAATAAAATAAATATAAAAATTATTAATAATAGCAGCAATCCTCCAGGAATTATTTGGCGATAATCAAAGGCAAAGATTAAAAACTAGGATGGATAGCAATTGATTCTCTTACTTCGGAAAAGCGAATATGAATAGATGTTATAATTTTGAGAAGAGAAAGCAACTACCTCGAATTCGTTTTCTTCTGAAGTAATAGAAAAGTTTTATATTTTTAAACTTTAAAAATAAATGAATTCTAAGCATTTACTGTGTTAGTTGATCACATTGATTCGTGATCAAGAATTTAGTTTTATTGTATTCCACATCAAGAGTAAAGAACAAATACTCATGATCGTGTAATGAAAGAAAGTACGTTAAATAAATTATCATCGAATAAATATATTAATTAAAAAAGAATTGTTTATTCTTTATTATTTATTACGTGAGAAAAATATTTTCCCATTTTCTTCTTAGATAAATTGATAATAGATAATAGTTTTAATAATGTATTATATTAGATTACCAAATATATATCAGGTTTTGAAATAGATTTTTTTCAAAAATAAAAGATCACACGTATTGACCAACTTTTCGACTTTGTTTAAGAAAATATAATCTATATATAGAAGATAATACTCAAAATTTTTTCAGAATTTTTCTAAAATTAAAAATTTTTGACTAATTTCTTGGTATTTTCTTAGGAAAATATAATTTGTGAGAAAATAGCACGCAAAACTTTTAACTGAATTTCAAAAATTTTTATTCAAATTCTGTCATAATATTTATCTGAAATACTTACCAGTAATTATTTTTCATCAATATTTTCATTATCTTTGTCCTATTTTTTGCAATATTGAATGTTTTTCCTACAATTTCCTTAATTCTATAGATATTTTTCTTTCATTATATTTACCTCTTGCAGTTCTTACTTTTCTTTACAGTATTAACTTAATATCATTATTTTTTGTCTTTTTCTCTTCTTTATTATTTTACCATTTATATATTTATTTTATACAGATACCATAAAATCGTTGGTATTAAAATGTATTCTAAAAACAATTTAATTTTAACCTGTATTAATATTTTTTTTTATACTATCACAAATAAATAAGAAATTAATAGAAATTATAAATCGCAGATAATAAGATTTGATAATATATTATAAAAAATAATATTTTTTTATAATTTTATTTATATGCATGTATATATCGGACCTAGGTGAAATTTATTACAAATAGTAATAAAAATTTTAGTAATAGTAATAATAATTTTAAATCAAGCTGTAAAAATAAATTATTTCTTAAAAAATTTTAAAAAGTAATTTTAAGAAAAAAGTAATACAATATGAAAAGTTTTGAAGTATCTAAGTAATATAGAAATAATAATGTATAATTTTAATTTTTTATATTGTAATAAAATAAAATTTAAAAAAGAAATAAAATAAAATAATTAAACAGATAATTATTATATGTTTCGATTCTTATTAGAATTTTCATTGTTCGAATTTATTTGAATTATCTATGAATATATATGTGGTGTAAATAAATATTTGGAATAAATAAAAAAATGTAATTTTTATGCTAAAATGTTGATTGTATGGAATAGATAATAAATATATACATATATACATGTATTTCGAATTTTACATTACTACACGTAAAAATTTTTTTTTTCATGGCATAAATGTTTTCCTGAAAATTTTTACTATCCACATAATTGAGAACAACGATTCTCAAGTTACTTCAGAAATCGTGAAGTGTCATCGTGAGTGAAATTAAAATGTATAAGCTTTTTTCAGTTCAAATTTATAATTATTAATATTCTAAATATAAATTATTTCTAATAAAAACTATTTTTATATTTTCAAAGAGTTGAATAATAGAATACTCAAGAAAATCTAATCACAAACTACACAGATTATAGGTTATTTGCGCGCGCATCAAAAATACTTTAGATTTGAAAAACCAAGAAGAAATGTGAAACAATTTTATTTTTTGCAATTAAGAAGCGATTATAAAGCAATGACGATTCTCTCATACCTAAAATCCCGCGCCTTACCTCATTTGTCATCGAGTTATGTTCACTCTCGTCAATTGTCATCTCGAAATCGTTCGGCACGCAATAATCCCAACGGAGAAGCCGGATGCGTCAAAATTAACGTAAACGAACGAAACACTCCTTTGAAATTTTCCGGGTGATCCTCAGTGCAGAGGTTTCGGTGATCGAGAGTTTTTCCAACAACTGATAAAGTCGACGATGATCGGCTCTCGTGGAATCAACAACTCGCTGGTCCTCCGGCTCCTTCGACAGTTTCGTGTTCCTGATGCCTAATTTCCTCGGACGTCTCTTTGGAATTTCTTATAAAACTGAACGATTGATAATGAACATTTTAGGTTTGGTAAGTATCGTTTCATATATCGATATCCTTTCATTTATCTTTTTATTTACAATTTCCTTATGCTTTGTCGATTATAACCTCTATAACCTTCAGTTTTTATTCGTCGAGGAAAAAAAGAAAGGTTAACCATTTACACTCGAAAATTTTTCCATTCTAGAAAATTAGCGATTTGAAATGTGATTATAAGCAAAAAAATATTTGACACAAATATCACAAATTGATAAAGAAGTCTCTTTTTTACATGATTACTATTTATTCTAGAAATAAAATATAGAAATCAAAATTAAATTAATCTCCAAAGACTTTTGAGATCAATAAATAAAAATAGCCTAAAATACATTCTATTCATCGTAGTCAAAATATTTTTTGTATAAGCTCTATTTTATAAGATGATCAATTTAGATGATCAAGATAGAATAATATCTATATATTATTATTGAAATTTCTAATTCTGCATTATTATTGAACTTTGAATAAAAAAAGAAGGAGAAAATTATTTTTATAATAATTATAATATATTTTATAATATATTTTTGGAATATTGTAAAATATAATATTAAAAGTATTATAATATATCTATTAATTTTGTTTTCGATTTCTATACAAAATTGACTAGTAAATGGCAGTTTATTTTTCGAGTGCAAATCATTAAACTTTATCTCGAGACATCAAATATTTTTTACTAAATATATTTTCCAAATATAATCCAAAAACAAATACGCAAACTTTATCAAAAAATATAAAAAATTATCTTTAGGAAAAGAAAAATCTTTGGTATCTTGAAAAAATTAAAAATTGAGTCTAAAAAAAAAAAAATTGTATCAATGCAACGAACAATTAATTTTCTCTAATAATAAAGAGATATTCATCAGAACGTGTCTTTCGAAGGTTAATAGCACACTAGATTGGAGTCCCATTAAATGGAGAAACAAGCTCGAACAAATATGGAACTTGTCCTTATCGCAGGGAACCCTTATTTTTGATACTATTGGCGAGGATACGATTAAAACTGGTTAGAAAATTATTCCCTGAATTTTAATAAAAATGAAATTAACATTATTAATTCATAATTATTTTTATTTTCATTAACTACAGCTTTATCATGGATCGTAATCACACGAATCATTATCGCCCATGTGTACACGATCTCCTATCTGACAAACATTTATCCCATATTAACATCTACTCGTCCGAACTTGTTACTACCCTGGTTGATCCTGAGCTTCTTCAAAAATGTCGTGCTGGAAGTAATCGTAATAGCTATTGGCCTTTTGCTTTGGTACGACAAGAGATTCTCGTTAACTATTTTCCTTGAATTCGTTCTTGTGAAGGTCATTCCTTTGAGTAAGTAAAAATTCAATTATGGCGAACTACATAGTAATTTGTTACATACTTGAAACGAAAAGTATGATTAAATTAATATTAATATTTTTAAATTATACAAGATATTTAAATTGGAATACAACTGAAAAGAAGTAGTTCTTGATAAAAATAAATCGAGATATATCATATTTATAGAATAAAATTTTTTTATTCTATAATCTGTTCTTTTTTTTTTTTATAGAAAATTAAGTCAAAAATTCATTTGGTACTTACACTTATATACTCAACGAATTTTCATTTTAAAAAAATCTTATTCTAGATTTTTCAATTATTTTTTTAGCCAAGAATTACTTTCTTTTTTTTTTTTGTAACGCAATTTCAAAGATACTATAATGATTTCAATGATTTTAATCTGGTTTTAATTTTAATTTCCACATCAAGATTTAATAAAATATATTTTTTATCGTTCGTAGAAAAATATAATAATTTAAATATTCGACAAGTAAAAAAAAAAAAAATAATAATAACAAATAATTAAAAATATTAATTATAAATAGATAAATAAATATATAAACATATTTATAAGCCATTTGTTAATAGTCATATAACGCTAATATCGCGTTGTTCATTATCATCAGTTATTAATTGTTTAAAATATTTCTGAAATTTATCTTCATTTCATAAATTTACATTTTTAAAAATTTCATCAAATCTTCCTATCTTTCAGTAATTTTCAGTTATGTCTGGTACTCTAACTCGTGTCTATTTATGGAACTACGTCACATGGAGAAACAACGTACACTGAGAAGAACCATGAGAAGTGATTCGAATCTGATCGCTGCTCGCATCTGCTTCAAAATAGGTGATTCGAAGTACAGAACACGGTCTCTGATGACTTTGATATCCTGTGACAGTTATGATACTTACGATACACACGATACCATCTCGCGAATCATCGATGATACCACGTTAACACCCGCCAGAAGACGATGAGAATTCTTGGATTGACCGAACAGGATATTGTGGACGCACGTTCAAGAAAAAAAGAAAGGGAAATTTGTAGAAGATTAACAGAAGAAGAAGACGATATTCCTGTCAATACTATCCTATCGGGATATTTTTTCATCAGTAATTACGATTTAACGAATAAATTAAGAAATGAGAAAACAGTGGAGGATGAGAAAAATGAAGAAATGATGGATGAAAAAACTGTAGATAAGTATAAAAAAGATGAAGTTAAGGCGGACAAGGAACTTGAAGATGATCAGGTAATAGGCTAGAAAGGAACATAGACAAAATTTTTTTTTATTATTATAACAAAAATTTATATTTAAGCTAAAATTTTAAGTTAAAATTTGAATTTGATCAATAAATTATATTTTGTAATTACAAACCATTTAAAAATTATTTTTCTTGATCTTATAAGCTTTTAATAATTTACAATAATTTAATTTTTATTTTGTAAAAGATTAAGAGAGAAATGTTAAAAAGTAATTTCACAAAAAATTAAGACTAGAGGAAAATTTTTTGTATTAGAAAAATAATCGTGTTATTTTGATTTTTTTGTTCCATCTTATCAGACAAGAATATATGAACATGATACTATAAATAAAAATGAATGTGAAGAAGATCGAGCTATGATAAATGAATTTTACAAAGATGATATCAGATTATATGTTAGTTCAAAGAATGAAATTTTGAGCGAGAAAATTTCAAAAAATCGAATTATAATTGACGAAAAATGTGATGATAATATGAAAGTTATCAGTGACACTCATAGTGCAGTGAGTTCATTAACTCTAATAAAATATATATAACATATTTTTTTATAGAAATAAAGCATTGAATAATTGTTACTTCAATACAATGCAGAATGATTTATTAACTTAACTCTTAGCTAATATTATGATAACAAAACATTATAATAATTCGATCTTTTTATTATCTCAACATGATTAATCAAAGATCAGACAATAAAATTTTCTTTTTAATTTTATAAAAATTAGTAAAAATTGTATTTTTTAAACAAATTCGGCACCAACAAAATTATGAATTAATCTTCCCTCAATTTTACATAATTTACATATATCTAAATTTAAACAGAATCCTTAATCTTCAAATAATCTTAAATTATATTTTATTTACCTAATCTTTTTTAATCTTATTTTTCTAATATTCTCATATAATTATGATATCAAATTAGTTGATTAATAAATTTTTTATTTTAATTCAGAACAGTCCATTTATAACATTAACAAGAAATAATGGCATTTTTAATACACAAGAAATCAAAGATAATTTTTCTGAGAAAACAAATCAATCAATGCATCAATATTCAAATTCTCAAGATACTAAAAACAATTCTTCTGAAAAAACAAATATGTCAGTGGATCAACAACCACAAGAAATTAAAAATAATTCTTCGAAGGTAACAAATAACCAACGTTCATCGACGAAGAAGAGAGGAGGAGCAAATTCCTCGGAGATAAATAACACGAAGCAAATGAAATTGTGTCCATCCTATCACAACGAATTCAGCTATTGTTGCTCTTCAAGAAAACAAGATTTATTCAAGTCTTCTTCGAACACTCGACAAATGGTGGAGAAATGTTGCAGCCCTGTGAAAATTCAAGATTTATTCAAGTGCAATTGCATCGTAGATGAATATTTGACTAAAGAAAAAATAGAGGAGTATTGTTTGTCAGGCATTGAAACGATGATGACCTCTACGCCTAATAAAAGTATTGACAGAGAGAAAATGATAAAGAATATAGAGGATTTAAATAATTCCAAAAACGCGAATTATCATTCATGTTTGAACGATTCTATTGATTTTAATCGAAATCAGAAGATAGATTTTACAGCGAATAACGCATTTCCTTTGATAGAAAAGTTGTTGCAAAATAATCCTAATATGTTGATGAATATTAAAAATGAGGCTCAAAAGTTAGAAAATGTTTACATGTTAAACAAATCAATGCAGGAAGTTTTCTATACAGCACAGAATACCGTATCAAATAGCATGCAAAATTTATCAGACATTGTTAAAGATTTAACTGTGACGAACAATGTTGTAACAAATATTGAAAATTTAAAAACAGTCGAACCTGAAGAAAAAAAGACAAAATTAAAGACTGAAAAGGAAATACTAAAAACTATGGTTTCTTTATCTGTTATGGACAATGAAATGAGTAAGTCAAACACTTGGAGAATTTTGAAATCAATTACTGATGTCATCTTCTTAGTTCTTAATAGTAGTAAAATTTAAAATTTTTTAAAATTAATTGCAAAAATACATTAATATTAAGAAAAAATATAAATACCGAAGTATGAAAGTAGTGATTTAATCAATTTGTCAATTAAAATTTTGTCTTAATAATGATAAAGAGATTTTTAAACTATGCAAATCATTTTTAAAGAAAATTCAATTGACTATCTTCTGAATTCTCCATTTGTAGTTTTTAAACTTAAACTATTTAAAAAATATGATTTAATGAACAATTTTATGTATTATTTCAATTTTTCTTTTTC